TTTTTTTTTTATGATTTGTCTCGTCTAATAACTGATATGCTAAGTAGAGTAATATTAATACTAACTTAAATGAAATAAATAATAAGACTGAAAATTAGGATGCTATAACTTGTACTAAGTATATTCTTCTTCTTCTTCTTCTTCTTCTAATTAGGATGCTATAACTTGTACTAAGTATATAATAGCAACTTCTTCTTCCCTCAGAAGAAGAAGCCCAAAAGAAATCGGTCCGCGCCCGTCGTTTCTCTTGGGGGGAGCGTGGCAGCGAGCGAAGGAGTATGGCCGCAGGACGAAAATCTTGGAAGCATTCCCAGCGCTAATCCCCGAACTCATTAACCAGGTCAATCACTTTCAATTAACTCTCTTCTACTTTTATACTTAATAAACTTTAATCATTTTATATTAAATGTTAATTTAATACAAACTCAAAATCCCACTCTAACCCAACTCAACCAACTTTTTAAAAATTAACTATGATGAGTGACGAATTCGAAGCCTCCCTTGATGTTCTCGATCAATTTGTAGGATAATAAAGAATAAGATCTTGTGTTTTTGGGCACAAATCTTTTTCCTTATTAATCAAAATCACAAGTTTCTTCTATTCTACAAAAACGCATGTATATATGAGAGAAAAGGGTCCACATGAAACACATCAAGGAGTTCATGTATTATATGCAGCAACAAGGACCTTCAGGAAGTTCTAAATAAGGACTCCCTAAGTGTGAATAGGATTCTGAAGTTCTGGTCCACCTACACCTTTCACACTTAAATAATACTTCATTCCACTACAAAAGTATTACTGAACTTCCTATTTAGCCCCCAAATTATAATTGAGACTGCATATTAATCTACTCAGTTTATTTCTCTATGTTTAAGATATAATAATCATTAATTAACTTAATTGCTGATAATATAATTAATTGACTTGTTGATCCAAAACTGGTACCACTCATTTTGTTATTATTACGCTAGAATTGAATTCGCATGTCATTTTTTAACTTATTTTGGGAACATCATCAAACTGGAGCCACCACACAGTGACCGTAAATAAGGGAATAAGATTAAGTAAAAAAAAGGCAGCGGCGGATACATAATTTTTTACCAGCCAGGGCAATATGAAAAAATAATTACTTAATTTTTTTAACAAATTTACTCCAATTTAAAAAAAAAAAGAAAAAATGCAATCTTTTAATCAATGATGGGAAGGTCATTGTCCACGATGCGGTTTCATATTTTGAAATCGAGCATTATAGCATCATTGCTAATGTTATTAAATACGTCTTTCTCAATATAAACAAGTAAACTATCATTCGTCCATTGATCTCCCATTCTATTGCGGAGTGGATTCTTCACGAGAGTCATAGCCGGAAATACTCTTTCCACTGAAGCTAAAGCAATCGGAAGAACTAAAGCCAAATTTAGAAGCTTGTAGATCAATGCATAAGCTAGGTTCTTTCTTGTCTCC